TGTTTGGTTAGGAGCCCCGAGGGCTCGGGTGTGTTTCAGATGTGTTTCGGGGAGTTTTGAACTTAAGAAAAATTGCAGAAAACAACAGATCTGGTATTCTGGTACTTTCTTCTTCACGTTCGCGGGAGAACCCACGCGAACGCGATGCATTAATTTTGTCGAAGGAAAATCCTTCTACGCGAACACGTAGCCCAGGTCGCGAACGCGAGGCAGTGGGGGGTCATCCCTTCGCGAACGCGAGCCTGGCCACGCGAACGCGAAGGCCAAAGTGGGCCTGGGCAGGGGTGGGGAAACTTCCCTACGTGAACACGATCCCTTGAATGCGAAAGCGAGGCTCGAGCAGTTCCTACTTCGCGAACGCGAGCTGTTGTCCGCTAATGCGAAGGCTTATGCAGCCTGACCCATCGCGAACGCGAAGGGCCTGTCGCGAACGCGATGCACATTTTCGCCCAGTTATTTTAAAGACCCAAAAACAGAACACTTACGGGATTTTATAAAAATTTCACAAACTTCTTCTTCTCCAAAGCTCTTAGGCGATTTTTGAAGCAATTCTTCACCATAATCTCTTGGGTAAGTAACCTTTAACTCATTTTCTTCATTTTCCATTAACACCCATTAGATTTCTAGGCCTAATTCATGCGAATAAGGGTAGAAAATTAGGGGTTTGGGTAGAGTTAGGGCTTTTTGATTAATTGTGATTTAGACCTCGTTTTGGGGTAGGATTTTGGAAATAATTATATATTTGGGCTCGTGAGTGAATGGGTGATTTGATTTTGGTCTGAACCTCGTGTTTTGACCAAGCGGGCCCGGGGTCGATTTTTGGGTTTTTGGAAAGAATGATAAGAAAGCTATAATTAAGCATTGGAATTGGATTGTTTAGCATTTATTGATGTTATTAAGTCAATTATGTATAGATTCGATGTTGGAGCCAAATTCGAAAGGAAAGGCGGTATTTGAGTCTTGAGTTGGCCGTGAAAGTTCGAGGTAAGTGTTTGGTCTAACCTTAGCTTGAGAGATTAGGAGTTGAGTCCTATTTGCTATGTGGTATTTGTTGTGTATGACGTATAGGCATGGTGACGAGTATCTATACGTTGGTGTCTAGCATAACCGTGAGTCTTTATATTATGAATATCTTGATTTCGTTGTATTCTTCATGCCTTGGTGATGATTTCTAGTTGTTGTGAAAAGTTTGTGGAAGGAATTGTGACCTTTGAACATCTTGGAGCATTGGCTCGAGTTATATTATGAATTGTGAAAGCATATGAGATGATTGAACCCTTTGGAGCATTGGCTCAAGTGGTAAAGTGAGTTATGAAGTATAAGTGAAAGATAGAGAAAGAGTTATTGAAATGTTCCCTTGCCGGGATTTAATTATTTAATTGTTGTTCCCTTGCCGGGATTTAATTATTAATTATTGTTCCCTTGCCGGGATTTAATTATTAATTGTTGTTCCCTTGCCGGGATTTCTATATGACCTTGTTTATTCCCTTGCCCTTGTTTGTGATTGTTGTTTGGGTGAGGAAGAGTGTTAAAGCACGAAGGGTGATGCCGTGCATTGTTGATATTGTGAGGAAAGAGTGTAAAGCACGAAGGGTGATGCCATGCCGCACGGTGTACCATTCTGTGCCGATTGTATTGATTACATTGTGAGGAAAGAGTGTAAAAGCACGAAGGGTGATGCCGTGCACATCTTTGATAAATAATTGTTTTGGTGAGGACGAGAGTAAAAGCACGAAGGGTGATGCCGTGCAAACTGTTGATTTTTGTTCCTTGTTGATATTCGAGTTATGTTGTTCCTTTCGTTACTTGATGCCTTTCCATTCAGAACTGTTATCTCCCCCACAACATGTTTCCCCTTCCCACCTTGACTGGTTATTTCTGTATTTCTTTTTCCGTTGTATATATTTAAACTGCACAGGTTTATTTGGTAGTTTGGTCCTAGCCTCGTCACTACTTCGCCGAGGTTAGGCTAGGCACTTACCAGCACATGGGGTCGGTTGTGCTGATACTACACTCTGCACTGTGTGCAGATCCCGGAGCAGCTTTTGGACAGTAGTTTGAGGGCTTCCTTTAATCCACCCGGAGACCCAAGGTAGACCTGCAGGCGTCCGCAGGCTCTGGCGTCTCCCTCTATCTCTATTTCCTGTTTCCTTCTCTTTTTCAGAAACAGTGTACTGTTATTCTTCAGACCTTGTATGTAGTAATCTTAGATAGTCTGTGACACAGTGACACTAGATTTTGGGTATTTGAGGTTTTAGAAGTTGTAGTAAACGTTAATTCCAGATATTTTATTGTTACCTTCCTCTTAATTATTTAAAGTTCCGTTGATTTCATGTTATCGCTTATATTTGTTAAAAAGAAGTAATTTATTAACGAAGTAAGTAGTTAAATTTTGGGTTGCCTAGCTCCCAATAGTAGGCGCCATCACGACTCCCGAGGGAGGGAAAATCCGGGTCGTGACAATAGTGTTGCCATTTTTTCATACTTGTTATTTATAGTATAACATGCTTAAATGATGAAACCTTTAACTTCACACAGTAGTATTATCATTTATATTAGTAAGAGGTAACTTAAATAAGTTGGATGTAAGACATGTTATTTCAATATGTTACCTTTGATTTTGTAGTAAAAAATATATTTACTAATATGAAGATCTAAGTAATTTAATTCAATGTTCTAATTTTTTTTAGTGTTATAGAGTAGATAGTCTTTCTTTCTTTCTTTCTTTCTATCTTTTGTCCAAGGTTTATTGTAATTTTTTTTTTTTTTTTGCAAACTTTAATATTGTCTTACTTGAAATAAAATCATAAAATCCATTATTAAAAAATTCTGGGGACCTAAATTAAAGCTTTACTAGTCTCCTAATCGAGCCACATGTCCATCTCCGTGCTATTCTCAATCAAATTTTATAGAGTCTCAATTAAGATAAGACAACAACCAGGGAATGTGTTATTTAGCTAGCGTTTCGCCATAGATCCCAAATTTATTTTGAAAAATTTGATTTGGGTGAAGTTTGGTCTGAAGATGAAAATGTGTTTGGACATACGATTTCAAAACATATTTTTCAACTTTATTTTGGGAAAACATGTATATATTTCTCATCTTTTTCCTCTAATTTTAATTCAACATAATTAATTATTAAATCTGAATATTAGGTTCAATTACAGCCCCTAATAATGAGGAAACAGAGAAGGCAACGGTTTCAAAATTCTGAGAAAATCGTTTCAAGCCAAAATTTGTATCTGGACATCCAAATTAGCAGCATGGGCGGATCCACATAAAGAATTGTGGTGCTCTAGCTTCCAGAGGCGGATCCAGACTTTGAAGTTTATGGTTCCTATAATGATTTCACATTATCAATTATTTATAGATATTTAATGAATTTTTTAATATATATACAAGGACCGTGCAAAAGTTACTGGGTTCCCGGGAACCCGCACGCTACCCTCTAGATCCGCCACTGCTAACACCCATTGCCCATCGTATCGAACATATAATTTTATAGACAATTTCGCATGAAAAAAAAAAAATATTTAAGTGAGCACCCATTACTCAAACAGACTGGTGGGTGCTACTGGTTAATGGACTCTAAGAATGCGCCCTGCGCGTGATCCGGAGTTCGTAGTGCACTCTTTGACTTTCTTTTTCGTTTCCCTTTTATATGGCTTGCCCTTTTGTTCTTAACTTTGCCGTTTTCTCTTTCTTCAATTCATTTAGTTCATCATGGCACAAAAAGAAGGTATTATATAGTATATAATATAGAAGGTATTACATAAATATGAAGGTTTATATAATACCAAGGGCATAATAGACTTTTCAAGTACAAATATGACTTTTGTGATATCTAGAGCAAAGTAAAGTGATTTTTGTGTAACAAAAGAAAGAAAAGTGACTTTTGTGTAACGAACACAAAGTTGAATTATTTTAATGTAACAAAAAAAAAGAAAAGTAACTTTTGGATAACAAACACAAAAGTTCAATGACCATGGATAAAATTACTCCCGTGACAAGTCCAGCTTTCACAATCCCAAATAGGGTTAGTCTTCTTGACCCTCCACCGACTGCACGATACATCCAGATCTACATGAAAGAACCAGTTTTTAGACACTAAATGTAGAAAGAGCAAGTGGCATTCAATCAATAGGTTCCAGCTCAATGAAAGAAAGTTCAAAATTGGAACAAAAACAGCATATTTAAGTTACGTTGTTTTTTCTACTCATGCATCGACACATTGCATTCTGCGGTCCCATTTAAGAGGATATAGTTTCAATACTGACCACCCTTTGTCGAAAAATTGCGCTGTGTATATATGTAAAATATTACGTTTCAGAGGTATATAACACATATATTGAACATCCTTTGTCGGGAATTTTTTTTCACTTCTTTCAAATTTGAATACCCTTAGAAAAATTTCTAGCTTCGCCAGTTAATACTAAAAGCAAGTAGCTGCACTAACAGCTAAAAATGATTAAAGCCTTTGGATTAAGACGACTGACTCAATTTAAGCCAGACCACAGATGGATTTGGATAATCTAATCAATACCCCTATAAATCTCATCCCATTTGTGTTTTTTAAGGCATACAATCCATCTTAAATATTCCCAAAGTTACTTTCTGTACAGGTAAAAAATTATTATGCACAGTATGTTTCTTTTATAAAGCATTTATTCCACAAAACAAGCACTCCAGAATGGGTTACAAGCATACAATAAATGCTCTCTCTCCATGAACTAAGCTATACCTATTTAGACCAGAGTATGAGAATGTAAAACATTCCTACTTACTAGTTACTACAAACAACTGAGCAACTTTACCTCGAAAACAACAAGACCAAAGTTTCATGTTCGGTTCTGAAATAGAGACATTAAAAATGATGAATCGACATCGACTATAACCCCTAGCCTTCCAAGCTAACGATGCGGGTTCGATTTCCGCTACCCGCTCTATATCTATTTATTCTAAATATTTTAATCTATTCATTAAATGAAATTTAGTTTATTAGAATTAGTACATCATTGAATATACAATTCCCAAAATTCTCTCACAACCCATTCTTTCTGTGTTTTTTCAAACAAAAAGTAAAAAAAAACAGAATGAAAAGCGTCCATTGTCTAATGAAGCTTAATTCTTCACGTGTGAGTGAGTTGGCCCTCCAACCTCAATCTTCAGATACTCCTTGTTCTCTTTTGCGAGTCTAGTTCTAATGACATTTTTAGTTTCCAGTTTCCATGATCTTGAGAAAATTGTTTGCTTACCCCATTTGAGGCTCTCCTACGTCCTCTGTTTCCTTGCTATCAGGAATTCATCCTTCTTCTGCTCCTCATTCCTTTTCCCCTATTTTTCCTCTTTCATTGGTACTGTGGTCTGATTCATGAGATATCAGCACCATAACCCCCTTGTCCTTGTTCCTCCTCCTGGTATCATCCTTTTGACTCGCTGGAGACACCCTCTCATCTTTACAGCCACTTCCATAGCTGTTGCTCAGTGCAGTAGCAGTATTTCCACATAAATAAGGACTGTTCACATGTAATCGATCGACATTCTTAGCTTCCTTTTCCATTGAACAAAAATGGAATCTGCTTGCTTCATAAATTACCAGCTTATGCATTAACTCAGTGACCATAGTAAAAGCCAGAGCAGCTCGAGTTGAACTGTATAATTAAGGTTAAAAAGCCATTAACTAAAGGTCTTCATTCTTCACGCACAAACAAGTGAAATACAGTTTTTATAAATATTCTGCAGGAAATAAACAAGTCTCTAGCAGATAAGCCACATAGAGGGATTAGTAGATGCTTAATCAAGTTACCAACTACAATTCTATAAAGCTACAAATGCATCTCCAGCGAGATGCCTTTTGTTAACATGCACACAATCAATCACAATAATTGTGCATACGCTGTGAATCACTAAATGCAGAAAGGACATGTGTCATTCAATCAGCAGGTTCCAGCTCGATGAGGAAAAGTTCAAAATTGGAAGTTTTCAATGGCAACAAATACCGCATAATATTTAAGTTATGTGTTTTTTCCTACTCATGCATAGACACATTATATTCTGAGGTCCCATATATGAGGATATCTCATCAAGAGGATGACTGCAATGGGAAACATCTTTATATTTGCAATTAATATGAAAAGCAAGTGCGGCACTAACAGCTAAAAATGATAAAAGCCTTTCGATTAAGATGACTTGGGCAATTTAAGCCAGACCATAGATGGATAATCTAATCCACACCCCTATAAATTTCATCCGTTATGTGATTTCTTAGTCATACAACCCACCTTCTCAAACACAACTTCTACAATTCTACATAGTACTTTGAACCTTTCCCTCGAAAGTCTCTCCCAAAACCTACTAAAGAAAATGGCAAATGCTCGTATTGCTAGGTTTGTTACAGAGGTAGCACCACCAAAGTTTGTAAATGTCATGAGACACCGAGCCTCGAAGATGCTAGATACCATCAATGAGGAGGAGAGGGAAGTTGGCACAAGCGAGTCACTTTCTCGGAAGAGTCCTTCACCTTCAGCATCTTCAGCTTATTCTGCTTCATCTTCAAATGCAAAAAATTCTAAACATTTTCTCAAAGAAGTTCAGAGATCTTTTTCTGTATTTGGCAGCTGAAGTATCTACTTAGACTTGCTGAAAGTTCTTTCAATTTTCAATTTCCGGACCAGTCTACTGATTTCTAAATGTTTTCCTTCTGCAAATTTTTTCTCTTACTTAGTTACTAAGTCCTCCAAGCTTTGCGGAGATTAGATAGTATGTAACCTGTGGGAGTAAGGAAAATTCCTCCATCGAACTAGCAGTGAACTTCTATTGCTACTTCTTTAAATATTCCTAAAGTTATTTCTATACGGCAGAAGAAATTGTATGCACAGTACTTTCTGTGTTTCTTTTATAAATAAACAGCGCATTTTATTCCATAAAGCAAGCACTAAGGAAGGAATAACAAGCATATATTAGCAAGTTATAGCTCAGTGAACTCAGCTGCACCTAATTAGATCAGAATACGAGAATGTCGAAACATCCATGCTTATACAACCAATTAGCAACTTTACATCAAAAGAACCTACTGATCCGCTTTCCTGCTATATAATACTAACTGGTCTTTCTGCCCAGCGCTTCTTCCTTTTGTTATGAACCAGTGATTTCCACCCAAACAACAAGAAACCATCATTCTTAACGTGTGAGTCAGTTTACCCTCCAACTTCAATCTTCTGACCCTCTCCCCTCCTCCCTCCTCTCTCCCTACCCTTAGACTTCCTTTGATAGTCTAGTTCCCTTGCAGTTTCAGTTTTCAGTTTCCTCTGCTTCCTTTTCTCTTCTCCTTCAGTAGTCTACCCATTTTGTGGTTTATTCTCCCTTCCATAAAAAGTTCCCTCATTCTTCCCACCTCAGTTTCCTTGCTATCAGGAATTCATCATTCTTCTTCTCCTCCTTCCTTTTCCCTGATTTTAGTTCCCCCACCAGGTTCATCTTTCCTTGTTGTCTGGTTCACGAGGTATCAGCACCATAACCCCCTTGTCCTTGTTCCTTTGGCATCATCCTCTCGACAGGCTGGAGTCACCTCTCATCTTTACAGCCACTTCACAGCCGTTGTTCTGCGTCCTAGCGGCATTTCCACATAAATAAGGGATAGTTCAGATGTAATTGACTGACATTCTTAGCTTCTTCTTCCATTGAACCAATATGGATCTAATGAAATCTGGTAGCTTCATAAATTAGCAACTCACGCGTTAAGTGGCCAAAGTAAAGACAGAGAGGCTCGAGTTTAACTGTATAATTAAAATACCATCATAAAAGGTTCTTCATACAAGGCTTCCCTTCGGCCTTTTTTTTTGATAGAGTAATAATTTTATAGAAGTATACCAAAAAGAAGAAAACCTACAAAACGAGATGGTTTTCCACGAACGACGCCCATTCTTCTACACATAAAGGAACCTTATTGGTGCACCAAAAAGAAATAAGGGATAATATACTACTCCTTAACTGAACAAAATTCGTCTCTACAGCTCTCTTATTTCGTTCTTTCCAATCCACCCACATGAGAGCTAGCGGCGCAAACTTCCATGCACTTCGCCTTCTCCTACAAGTTGACTGGTGGCTTATGGTCAATGGAACTAAAAATAATCAGAGAACTCAAGATTATTTGATTTTTCATTTTCCTCTCCTTCAGCTTATCCAATACTAAAAGTTTTGCAAGAATCATTTGTCTGTCTTCACATTTTGATCAATTGTTACTAAAAGAGTGCGACTTTTTAAACATAAAGGAAGAAATTACAAGAATAGCACTAAGCCTGAACGTATTTACATTGTCTGGATGAAGATAACAGCATTAGAAAAGAGATAAAAAAAAAAGTACAACAAAGCCCCTTACAAATTACCACTGTCAAAAAGAAACATCGGAACACTTTCTTCTGTTAACCATTTTGCACGGCATCCACTAAAAAAGAACCAAGAGCAGTGGTGATAATCCATAGGCAAGCATCGAGAAACACAATCTCATAAAAAATTAAAATCACATAATAACATCGAAATGTAGATACTCACCTATGGTGTAATCATAATTTGGTTGGCAATTCAGTACTACACTGGTTAAGAAAATGGAAGTTATCCCCGCGGCAGCTTTTCACTTCTCCTTTCTGACATTTGAAGACTTCAATCTAATCTTGCTCTTCTTAAACTTTTCCGATTCAACATTCTCTCTAAGTTTCTCCAAAGCTTGAGGATAAGGAAAAAAGAGGTTAAATTAAAAAGACAGAGAATATCGGAAGAGTAATTGCAGAACCTGTGCAAATATTTATTTTCACCAAAAAGGCTAATATGAGATCTCAAGTTGTGTTCTCTTCATAATTCTCAACTACAACCACATTGACCAAACAACTACTCTCGCCGAGTACTTCCAATATGTTGAAAATGGGAAAAGAAAAATACCTGAGGTATACACAGAGTTGAGTGACTCTATAACTTCAGAAGAAACAGAATAGGTGGGGCAAGAGTCACAGTCAGCTTTTTGTAACAGCTTCTTGAACCGCTTAACCTGAAATAATTAGCATTAGAGATTCCATATTCAAACAATAAAGAATAAAGATAGGAACATTTGCTGCAAAAAGCAAAAGAAAGTTTAGTGATTTGATGTCTCAAATCAAACTCCTTCACCAAAAGTTATTATCTTGGAAACGGTTGTGAAACCTGGTGGTATATGTAGTTAATAGTCAGAGATTACATCATATTTTTTAAGTATGTTCATATATCATACTTATTATCCCAATAAATTGAACACTGAATTGCTGTGACAGTTAGGAGCACAATATGAAGACTGAAGGAGCAAACTGACAGTGGAGGACGGCTTAGCTTTTATGGTAGCTTATAAGCTTCAAGATCAGACTTCTTTTTCAATTTTGTGACCATTTGATGGTAGGGACCAGCTCAAGTAGTCATAACTCTACTGTTAGAGAATACCTCAGTTAATCCAAGATGATTTGTTGCCCCCCAACCCCCCAAAAAAAAAATCCTAATATCATGCAAAAGTTAGATTTACTGCATCAGGTAATTTACAAAAATGTCAGCTCCCTTCAGGGACGGAACTTAAAATCATTTTACAAAAATAGATCACCTTAACAACCTTCACTTCATCACCACTAAAAAACATACCTCGTCTTTGCGTAATAAAGTAAAGCAACACCCACTTTGGCCTGCTCTTGCAGTTCGACCCACCCGATGAATAAATGTTTTTATATACGCAGGCATGTCATAGTTAACGACATTTCTAACTCCTTCAACATCCATTCCACGAGTCATAGCATCAGAAGAAATAAGCACTTGCACTTGTCCTGCCCTGAAGGCGCTCAACGTCTTGCTGCACGAAAAAAGTTCGCGACATGAAATTGCAATACAGTACACTTGAGTAAACAACAAGAAATACCACAACATTCACACAGGTGTTCTTGCACGACAATATGTGTCCTAAATAAACATAGCACCACCACCTTTCTACAGGTATAAGTACAAAATAGTTTCTTTATTCTCTACTTACTTTTCTCTTTTTAGAAAAGTTTTCCACTTAATCCAATTTCCAGAGTTTAAAGCCATAATAAAATTAGGTTGTGACCGAGATAGAACAACACCAAACATGCCCTTTTTCTAAACGTATAAAGATTAACAGCTCTTAGCAGCCACTTGGATTAGGGTAGACAGGATTTCTTGTAAGATGCAGACATTCTCATATGGCAACACAAGACTGTCTCGTGATACATTTTTTTATAATGAAGATTGTCTCTGATGCATAATTTTGGGAGTAGGGAAAACTATCCCTTTTGTCACAAAAACCTAAGATTTTTACACTTCTAATATAGTACCTTGGAAACCGATTAAGCAGAATAAAACGTATAACAGTACAATAGTAAATCAAAATTGTCCAGCAACGTACGTGCTCCTTGCATGACTACCTTCAGTTAGCTTCAGTAACGTGTGTGCTCATGCAAAGCATCTTTAGTACAGCTGACTGCAAAATTGTCTAGCAAATCGACTAATGTAAAAGCTCAGAACTAAATTAAAGTTGTTATGGGAATGTATCTACAGTACCTTCTTAAAGATTGACGTTGAAGACGAGAGTACTCCTTGAACTCAATTTGCAAATTGTCGAAAAACTTAAGCAAGGTGCATAATCTATGAGTGGACTCCACAGATGATGTGAAAACAATTGATTTCTCCCCTTGCAGACTTTGAAGAAGGGAAACTAGATAAAGTGGCTTAAGCTTCGATTGGCATATCTACACAGAAGGAAGGTAAAATACCAATATCAATCATCTTCTAGTGAAGAACAGTGTCTTCAAAAGCAAAGGACGCAAAAATAGCAGCAATTCCAATGGGAGCGAAAAGTGAGGTGCACACTTTTTCAAATTGAACACATACCTGATATACATGAATATAGATAGTACTTGTAACACTAAATTGCAATTGAAATTGCTAACTTCAGCATCCAGTATCCGACAATAAAAATATTTATCCAACAGCTCAAATTAAACATTATTAAAAATGTAATTTCGAGAGGAGTCCTAACACTCAAATAGCAAAAAAAGCCCTATTCTTTATTCTTTTCCTCCCTTTTTTTTTAACTTGGGGGGGGG